TGGTTGGGCCATGACCCAATTAAAAAGCAACTGGACTAAAAAATCTTATGTCACATTATATTTAACTATCAAACATAAATTCGTCCAGGGGGTGAGCATATGCGTTTCAAATGTAATGAATGATTGATTTGATGTTCGAAACATTTGAATTTTATTAGAAATTCTAGAAGAAACCCAAAACAAAAATTGGACACATAATCAGTGTTGGGAAAATATCGAAAAATCAAATCATCACGCTTGATTTTCGTAGACAAAAATCAACAAGCAAACAACTGCGGTTGATTTTCCAAGCTGTGATATCGCAGCTCGGAATATCAAGCTAACAAAACTCACCAACTGCAAATCTCACCAAACTGTGGTGACATTGAGTTTAATGATTTTTGCTTTACACCCGAATGCAACCGAAACTACCATAACGGCTTGCAGCAGTCCCTTCGCGTCTGCCATCGGTGAAGATTAAAAAGAGATAGCAAACTATGTTTTCTCTTTCTAAGAAAACGATGTGCAATGGAATCATTTTTGTGTCGAGTCAACACTCAGCTTGATTTTTGCACGTTATGAATAGTCTCGCAATATCAAAGGAGCTTGTTAAATCAATATCAAGCATGATATTTTGTTCCAATATCACGTGTGATATTGCGAGAGCATGAGAGCGGAAAAAATATCAATTGATTTCTGATTTTGCCAACACTGCACATAATATGATTAACTTCTATTTGCTTCAATCTGCTATGATTGCATCCGCTTTTGAGAAATCTTATCAACCACAACAAAGCTTGCGTACACCCCACAGCAAATTTTGGGCCGAGGTGCTGGCCAAACCAGCAAATTTCAACTGTACATATGTAATCAAACGTTAACTTTATCGCGTCTTTTTTCCTATAAAAATATCTTAAAAAAGATTTCGAAAACTCACGCGCAATAACTTCCATCCTTCATCGACACGATGAAAATACGGGTGCACCGCAACGACCTCACACGAGAAAATACGAAATTCGCGGCTTTATGAAAGAGACAACCAGTACTACTGTTTCAAACCTTCATGCCAAACACTGTCGAATGCTTTTTCTATGTCTAGAAGAGCAACTCAAGTTGAGCAGCCTTCAGATTTGTTTGAACGAACTAAATTGGTAACTCTTAAGAGTTGATGAGTAGTTGAATGCCCATGGCAAAATCCAAAATGCTCATCTGAGACCGGTTTTTCCTAAGACATTTATTGAATCTTTTGTTAATCCTAACAGTGAATTCAGCTGATTTGTCTTGCTGCTGAATACTTAATCTAGGCCAAAACTTCTAAACTTCGAACTCAATTGTTTGGTAATGTTGTTGTCGAAATTCACCGCCACCCGTTTAAAACAATCAGTTACTGGTATAAGAGTTGTCTAAGTACGCCTGAAATGGTCCCATGGTCTTTTATTGATTACTGCCTGTATTGTTTTTTCTTGATACCCATTTGGTCTAGCGATTTAAAAAATGTGATTTGCCTGTATCGCCTAGAGGAAGAGTTTGCATCCTGTGAACCATGTGGTGAAAAGCGGCCATTTTGTGTTGGTGGGAATGGTTTGAAGAGCTTGGTATTACTCTCTTTGTATTTGTTGGTTTCCTTATGATTTAGAAATGAGATGATGAGAAGATCTAAGAAGGGAAGTTTGCCGTCTTTCTCTTCTTCGTTAGTAAATTTGATGTCCTTGTGAACGTTGCTAATGGCCTCCACAATTTTTGATAAATCTGACCCTTTGACAAATGTCATCCACGTTCGCACTTGGGCAACAAATTCCTATCCTCCGGAATATTTTCTAGGTTAGCCATGAACAATTCACATAAAAATGGGGAAAGCGGATTGCCCGTAGGAGAACCTTTAGTTTGTTTATAAAAATTTCCTCTGAAAATGAAACAATTTTCCTCCATACAAAGACGAGTAAGCTTGAGATATCACCTAACTTTGTTTTTCCAAGTACGTCCAGAAGCCAGTCCTCTAAAAGGCAGATGGCTTCCTTTATTGGTAAACTCAATGCACTCAAAAGCTCTTCATAAAAGGAATCCATTAAGGGGCTCGACAAAATTAAAAGATTAAAACTTTCAATGTTACTTTGGTATACTGTACTTTCCCGTTTTTGTCAGCCCCATCTGAAATTTTAGGCTGACAAAAACAGGAAGCTGACAAAATCGGGAAATTCTCTTTTTCAATATTTTAAGCATCAACATTATTTTGAAATCAAACTAAACCATTATTTATCAACTATTAATGGAATTACTGCTACTGCTTGGTCCCGAGATGTTCAGTATGATTCTGGCTACCGCGTTGATGGCCCTTGCTGCCTTCTCGTAGGCGTATTATACGTGGCTATTGAAGCCAAACGGTCGTCGGCCATCCTTCCCAGGCATTTCAACACGCACTTCTAGTTTATCGCGTGCTCCCCAACGGTAATTTCTGACCGCTGCAGTGCTTTAAAGTTACTGATCAATATCACCTCGCTTTTGTTGTGGGCTATCTGCAGCTCCACTCCATGCATTAGGTTTCCAATCATGTCGACCGCCGCGGTATCCAACATTTCCATCTATTCCAGCGTCTTGCCTGTTACCGTAAGACGCAAAGCCAACGATCTCAACTCGTTTGGGTAGCTTCAGCGTTAGACCGCCGTTTTAAATCACGTTCCAGAGCGTTGGACCAAAGATGGAGCCTTGTGGAATTCCCACCGTGATTCTAATCGATATTTGGCTCGTAGATCAGAACCCGATTGTGGAAGTAGCGTCGGCCTCCCACCTGCTACGAGTTGCTCGTTTGTGATTTCGTCGTTATCCCCCTCTCCGTCTCCGTACGATGTAGGTGACTAGGTCGTTGGATCGTGCTTCGAGAAAAGTCCTTCCACGATGACTTTGAGGTTCTCTAAGCACATGTCAGCGAGCATGACTTGACATCTGATCTTCGTCATCACGACACGGTGTGCGTCGTTGGCAGCAGCGTCTCGACCCAGCGCCAGTTGACAGTTTGACTTGCTCTGTTTTATCTCTCGATTATGTGCTCGGAACATTCCTCAACGTTCCTCTCTGTCTGCTTCTGTTCTTGCTCTCTGAACACATCTTCTGGATCTTAGACAACTAGCGCGAAGGGTGCTAACTGCCTCGTTGCAGTAGTAAGCTGGAGGCCGTCTGTTATTTAGCTCCAGTTTCCTCGGCATGGTCGTGGCACATGGTCTCCCTAACGATTCTGTCAATTCGTCTTCCTTTTCAGGCCGCAAGTTCTCGTCCTCTATACTGCCACAGGATTCCGTTGGCCGATGCCCCTATCGGATTGCCTGATGATCACTATGGGTATATCCTTCACACACTCTCCAATTCATGTTTTTTCACCAGCGACGGACTGCAGTCCGCATAAAGTGACGTCGATAATGGATTCCCGGCCATCTCTGCGAAAAGTGCTGATGGTGCCTTTATCGAACAGCCTAATTTCCAGCTTCGCCAGAGCTTCCAGCCCTCTTGCGTACATCTGTTTCCCCACTCCACTGCCTAAGCATTGAAGTCTCCTCCGAAGACTACCGGTCTTCGTCCGATCAGCTCTTCGGTAAGTCCAACCAGCGTCTCTTGGAACTGCTACATCGTCCATCGGGTACGTAGCAACTGCATATGAATATTCCGTTAATTTGGCAATCACGAAACCTTCTTCTTGAATGCGATATCTGTCCATAATTTGTATTGCAGCCATCCCAGATCTATCCGCCACCTAGTTACCTTTACCGGGAGGGAATCGATACAGCTGTGCAGTGTCGCAATAATTGAGGTTTATTAGAGTTACCTCTGTTATTGTTGCGACAAAATAAATAAGTGTCATTTCGAGTGAAATGCTTGAGATTTATGCTTAGAACCCAAAAAGTTGAGGCTTACAAAATCTGGAAAAAAACTGACATAATCGGGAATGCACTGTTTTTTGGAGTATTCCTATATAATAACTTAAATGTTATTACACACTAAATCATGGATCATCGTCCTCTACTTGACACCCTAATTGATCTTCTCCAATTACAGTAGCCCCACAGAGAGTCAAGGCATTCATCATCCCTTACTGGGTGGACGATGAAATACCGCGAACCAAGGAGTGACCAAGAATCCAAACCATCTCAAGATCATACAATGGTCCCCATGGGTAACTTTCCCAATCAAGCTTTGCTGCTACTGCTACTGCTGCTGCAGAATCGCCGATAAAGAAGAAAAACATGCTCATATCTACAGTCTGGCATCTATCTGCAGTACCTATCATGATTGGACGTATGCGATAGCGCAAATGTGGCTATTTATTTTTTCTCACGATTAACCCAGTGTAGTGCGAGCGTGGGTTCGTCGCTTATGGTACTCAACTCAGGTGTATCGTTCTCGACAACAACACCGACAGGACCATAACTCGGAATAGCCATCATATCTTCGCGACTTGCTCGAAGCCAGTAACTATGTGGAGTGGTGAAAAAATCTTCTTGACTTGCATAAATGGTGATTCACTGCATACTGAACAAGTTGTCAATGCACTCCTTTGTGCCGATCTATAAGTCTGCTCTTGCACGTGGTGGTTGGACCGTGGGGGTCTCTAATCAGATATTCGTACGAAAAGGTACTAGATCAATTAAACTACCATCGGTAGTTTGTGGGTCGTTTGATTTAGCCGCGCGTGCAGCGTTAGGTGTGCAAAAGGGTTGGTTCCTTGAATCAACATGTAGTAGAAGCAGCAGCAGCAGCCACGGCTGTTGTTGCTGGTTTGGTTTTAGATTTATGAGAAAATGTGCTAAATATTGCATAATTTGCTCGGCTCCATATGAGGGGAAGGGGTCCGTTCCTATTGCGAATGCGGGGCGAACAAGATTGCACATTTAGATTCTTTTTGGTGCTGCGCTGGGAAAAAGGTTAAATCTATGTGACTGTGCGGTTAAGGTCTTGAATATGGTTTTGCGTTTCTGAGAATTGAATCATGGGACTTTCGGAGGTTTCACTGAGCATTCTACGAACAATTGATATTTAACAGCAAAATGAATTCAATTTTTCATTGAGATGAAAAATTGAATTGATTTTATTTTTATTTTTTTCATCGTTTTTGTGTTGCTTTTCTTCACAAATAAATACAAAAAAACTATACATCATATGTACACAATTAGACTCATTTTGTTCCCGCACACATACACACACTGCTATTCGATGATGACTTGAAAAAAGTGGACGGAGAAGTAGTTGGAGGCAGGTTGATTTTTCCTAATCACAAAACCATTTCGCAATGGCTTGGCAGTGGTCCGGGTGTTCCGAAAGCTATTGCAGAATTGTTATCTTTCGCTGTGCTCTGCGCTCGCCAGCAGGATGTTGCATGTGATGAAAAGAGAGGTGGTGATGGTGGTGTTGGTCTCCCTCTGTCCGACAAATGTCTGACCGGACGGAGGGAGCGAGTATAGGGGCAGGTGCTTGTGATGACGGTGTCCTACTTAGTGCAGGTATCCGTGGCCATAAGCCAGAGGAGCGTGGTAAGCTGGAGCAGCAACGACGGCTGGAGCGTGGGCAACATAAGCTGGGGCATGGTAGGCTGGAGCATAGGCGACTGGAGCCTTGACGGAGACCTGGAATGAACGTGAGACGGAGAAGACACAATCGTAATTAGTCAAGCGGTTGAATGGAGATTTGTTTTCGATTCGGGTACGGGGAGGGCAGAGTCGTGATCAAATTTCGTTTTATTTACGAGGTGCATTTGGAATGACAAAGGCAATTGGGAGCTACTGTGGGTTGCAGACTGATTGGGATTCCGACAGGTTTAAGGATTGAAAGGTGACAAATCGTAAGACATTGTTGCATCACGGAGGGGTGGAGGGGTCTCATAGCCTAGTCAGTAAAGGCACGGTATTACCAAGCCGGAGGCGGTGGGTTCGATTCCCGGTCCGGTCGAGGGAATCTTTCGGGCTGGAAATTTTCTCGACTTCCCTGGGCAAAGAGTATCATTGTGCTTGCCACAAAATATACAAATTCATGCATTGGTATTGGCATCGAAAGTTCTCAATTAATAACTGTGGAAGTGCATTTAGAACACTAAGTTGAGAGCACGCAATAAGCTAATATGCACTAAGCAATAAGCTTGAAATGCGAACAAGAAGAAGAAGGTTGCATCACGGTACAAGTACACGGTCAATGAGAACGACAAAAATTTGAGTTTGTTTTACTCATAAATCGCAAAAAAGTGCAGGAACTCAGCGATGAGTAAATTGGCCTCATGATTTTCCAGGTTTGCACAGGAAAAAAAAATCCCGGATATGAGAAAAGTAAAGATTGATTTCACTTGATCTATTGGTACTACTTATAGACTGAGTAAAATTTACGTCAATTTTCCTCATTTTCCGGCAGATTTTTGAGGCTTCCACAGGAAAACATGAGAAAAATTTACTCTTCGCTGAGTTTCTGCACTTTTTGCGATTGATGATGTATGATGTATGATAGTGATCATTGTAGCATGGCAACTAAATCCGATAGCAGTGGGCTCTCTTCTCTGTTTGTCTCGATCAATTTTAATAACCTCTGGATGTCCTCAACATGTCACTGTATGAAGGGCTAAAATTGAATTTGGTGGATCGATAGGCAAAGCCGCCTTTACGCATCTACGGGACAGTAAAGAATCTCCTTCCAGCAACATGATCGCACAATTGGTCAAAAAGACGAGCCGCCAAACAGGAAGATGCCTCAATGAGAGGGGAGAAGAGCCAACCCTTTATCCACGAAATGTTATCAACAGGGAGGTGGAATTTTCACTCTTCCCGTCCAAATCGCTGCAATCGGGTGCCCTGATGGTCCCTCCCAATCCCAACATTGTTTTGTATAAATTTTTGAGCAATTATAAAAATTGAAAATTTAAAACGATCTCAGTAACTTTCGCTGTTTCTTCACCTTCTGTCCAATTTTCGTGCCTATTAGTGAAGTCATTGTCCTTCTCAGCAGCACTGCTAGTCGCTACTAGTCTCCCGATGTCTGATGTGTTCTACGACATTTCGACGTCCGTACTAAACTCAAATTTGGGTTGTTCTCATTGCCCGTGTATGCGCATGATTCGTAGTTAGTGACCCTTCAGCTTGATTCATAAGTCCAAAGTATAAGTCTGTGCAAAAACTGATTAAGATTGATGAAGGCCTAGAGGTCATACATTATTGCATTAATATACCTCGAAAGAACCGCTCATGTTTCAAAGAAGGAAGAATCTCCTATGGAAAATTGTCTATTAGACATGACTTCAAATGAAAACATATAAACTCGAAAGAAACGCTCATATTTGAAAGAAGCAGAAATCAGCTTTCAAAAATCGTAGGCTGTTAATACCTCAGCTTAAATTGTTTCTATATGAACGGTCTTTTTCTCCATGTGTGCAAAATTGAATCCTTGAATAGTTTTCCAAGTCAGTTAACTTTTAATTTGAATCCATTGTTTTTCCTTGAAATGAGATTGTGAAGTTTTTTTTTTTTTCAAATATATAGATGAGAATTCAGATTCTTGAAAATGTTGCCTAATCCAAGATTCAATGCCACTTCTCAGATCTGGAAAAATTCTAAAAGTCCCAGATGGTTGAAGATTGATTCAAAGACCATTCTGAGTTCAATCAATCTGTTGCCATTTTTTGGCCTAATGGCTCTCGGTCTAAATACCTATTTCGTCTAATGAACCCAAGTAGCACATATCCATCATAAATAGTTACAGCAACTTAATTGTGACTAAATTCAGTCATATAGAAGTTACCTCACCGAATTGTGGCAAGTGTGCTACTTGGGAATTATTTGGCCTAGGTGTCTTCGGCTTAATGGCATTTGGTCTAAAGGCTTTCGGCCTAATGGCATTCGTCCTACTAATGACCCAACACCTTTTTATTATTATTAGATACATAAATATTAACCCGTTTGCACCATGAATCAATAACAATTTCAGCATTTGACGAAAAGCAATAATGTTCAGGTACATCCCACTGGTTAGCTCCACCCCATTTTACGGTATTCTTTTTTCGCTATACCAGTAAATAATTATTGCTTGGTAAGTGTGACTGCCACTCACTCCATGGGGCTTGGGTTCAATCCAAGTTGGCGCCGCCTGGATTTTCTGAGGCATGAAATCTCTGATCAAGGAAAGTAAAGCCGTTGGTCCCTGGTCCATGAATTTATGAGTCGATATGTAGGATCAAAGTAAGAGAGCTGCCTCCCTGGCGTCAGTAGCATTGATAGGGTTAAATACCCCATTTCCGGCCTCTTAATCTAGCGCAGTTTAGCACCAAACGGAATGTTATAATTACTGATGGCTTCCAAATTTATTTACCTTTCCTTACGTACCGTAAGATTTGATGAAACGAAACCAATCGTTGAGATATTGTCAAAAGTCTAACACTACTTCTTGACGCCAAACTCTGCCTACGGATTCTAAATTCGGCCTAACGCATTGAAACGCCTTTGAAACGCCATTGAAACGCCAATGAATTCACTTCGGTCTATCGGATGAAGATTGAATTGATTTGGTCAGAGCACTTCTTTTGTTTTTGGAAATAATGGGTGCAAACCTTCATGTCATGCGTACTCATTGACTTCGTTCCGGAGCTTATTAACTAAAGTATCAAACCAAACGCATAATTGACTTGTCAACTCTGAAATCTTGGACTTATTTAAAGTTTTCTTTTCAATAGGCCCAAAATGGGCGATTAGCCCGAAGTAGTTCTCTACCCTACTCAGTACAAGATCGACGGCAAAACAAACCAAGGAAAAATAATATGGATAGCTTGTCTTGTTAAAAATATTGTTAAACGACTTTCTCGCTAATCCATTTGTGAGCTGGTATACGGCTAATACATAATTTTGTAGCTCTATATTAATTAACCTATAAAACCAAAACAAAATTAATATGATGACTTAATGTTTCTTTAAGGCATGTTCTTTATGATTACTTTGATGAATAATTAAGTGTATCGTGTTTGTTGAGAGAAAACCCTGATCAACAACTGACAATTCTTCGAGAACCGAATGGATTTAACAACATGAAAATGGAATAGTTTGGACAACGTAGATGTCATTCTTGGAGAGAATGAACGAAGCTAGAAAAGCTTTACAATTTCATTATGTCAATCTTATCACAGTAGTCAAACTTTGCAAGAAATTTTGAACTGATCCAAACATAAAAAGTGTACAAAACGATGATAACATTCGACCTAATGGTAGTGTACGATTCATAAACCAGAAGCAGGTGAATTTAAATTGGTAAAAATCTTGGCAGTGATGGCATAATCATTATCGAATTGATATTTTTCCACTCTCAATATCACGCGTGATATTGAAGCAAAACATCATGATTGAAATTAATTTTACAAGCCCCTTTGATATTGCGAGACTATTCACAAAGTGTAAAGTTGAAGCTGAGAGTTGAATCGACGCAAAAATGATTCCGTTGCACCTCGTTTTCTTAAAAAGAGAAAGTATAATAATGCTATCTCATCACAGACGGCAGACACGAAGGAACTGCTGCCAGCCATTATGGAAGTTTCGGTTGCGTTCGGGTGTAAAGCAAAACTCATGAATCTCAATATCACCACAGTTTGGTGAGATTTACAGCTGGTGAGTTTTTTTTTTGGGTTGATATTCCGAACAGCGTAGATTTTTGTCTACGCAAATTTAAGCGTGATCTTGATCTTTGGTGAGATTTGATTTTTTTTATATTTTCCCAACACTGGCTCTAGGTCTTAGGGACTCCACGGTCAGAAAAAGCCAAGGCCCCAACAAGCGGTAAAAACGGACCTGAAACTGCTCGTATTCCACTTGCTCATAGAAATCTTTAATCAACAGAAAAGTTTTGAAAGTCCAAGAATCTTGAATGGTTTGCAAGTCTCAGATTATTGTCCGGAGTCTGAATTGAAGTTTTGAAGATTATTTCAGTATCTTGATTTCATGGATCTTTTGATACTAAGATTCGAGATTTCGATAAATCATTCCCATCTCTGAACCATGAAGCTGTATTAAAATTCTCGGAATTTTTAATATGTTTCTGGATCTTGAAAAAGTAGCTATGGTTGTACCGGATGATTCGGAATCATGGAAATGTATTAACATTTTCTAGTGGTGTTCGAATGTTTTCTATGTTCTTAAAACTTTAAAAAATCATAAAGTACCTGTGGCCAAATATGAAAAAAAAATGGTTGACTAAACCATATCCGATTTGCATGAAACTTTGCATAATTGTATGTTATGGGCAATATTACACATTAGATGAAGTTTGGCCATTTTGGATCTTCAATATTTTTTTTAAACTGCAAATATTTATCAAGGAAATTTTTGTTATTGAAAATCGTATCACTCAGTCTTTGGGGATCCACGGTTAAAAATATCCAGAGCCCTAAATGTGCGGTAAAAACAGCCCTGAAGCTGTTCATATGTAATGGAAGGAGCGATCTTTAATCAACAGAAAAATTTTGAAAGTCCCAGGATCTTGAATAAATCATATTTTTCAAGTCATAGATCTTTCGATACTCATTCGAGATCTCGATAAATCTTCCACATCTTAGAATCATGAAACTGTATTAAAATTCCCGCATTTTTAATATTTATCTGGATCATTAAAAACTAGCTATGGTTGTACCGGATTGCTCGGAATCATGGAAATGTATCAACATTTCATCTCGTAATTTTCGAAAGTTGTATATGTCCTCAAAACTTTAATAAATCATGATGAGCAGATCCAGGCTAAATACCAAAGACAAAATGACTTTAGACTAAACCATATTCAAATTGCATGGAACTTTACATAATTGTATGTTATGCGCAATCTTACACATTAGCTAAAATTTGGCCATTTTGGATCTTTAATATTTTTTTAAACTATAAATATTTATCAAGGACATTTTTTGTTACTTAAGCTTTTAACACTTTTTTTGAAATTGTACTCAAAAAGACAAAACAAATTGTCCCGTGTACATTTTTCCTAGAAAGACCATATTTTTTCTACCACTTTGTCTCTGACGTCATTTCAATTAGAACTGATGTTTTCGTGCTACGATTTATTAAAAAAATATAAAATATGCCATTTAGTAAAAAAATTTACAGAAAACTGGCCAAATTCAAGCAGAATTAACTCTAGTTAAATAAACAGCCATTCCATAGCAAAATGATACATTGGTTCTCAGAATTTTGTAAAAATTGATAGTTTTGTTCCTTATTGCAAAATATTAGACTTTTTTTTTTATTTTGTCATTAGGGTGTCCATTTACATGTTAGGGTGGTCCAAAAAATCTATTTTTTTATGTTTTCATGGTTTGCAGACATAGGGCACTGTATGATTTTATATGTTTCCCTTTAAAATTTAGGCTTTTTACACAACGTATCAAAAAATTAGTGATTTTTTTATTTTTGAGTTATATTTTTTTGAAGTTATCAAGTTTTGGGTTTTCGCTCAATACTCCTATGCGACTAGACTACCATGCGTGTCCATTGATTTATAGAGACTGTAACATGGTCACACGGCATGGTAGAATCACTACCAGACTTTCAAGAAATACCCAGTCTCATGATCATGAAAACTCATACAACTCTCAGAGATTATAAAATTCATCAGGATTATTTCTGGATCACTCGAATCAAGGATCTTGAAACATTTTCATTAACCAAAAATACCTGTAGAAAGTATTCTACAAAGATTAAACAAATGTACGCATCCCAGAATCAAATTTTCGTATTCTTGGGATATGGAATGTAATTTTTTTATGTCCTGCGTTTTTTTGGGATCAATTTCTTAGTTCTAAATGCAAAACAAAAAATTGGAGTCAAAAGTAGAATTTGCATGCCACAGATCCCAATTTTCTCGATTTTTTGGTTTCTCACAAAATATCTTAAGTCACTGTTCCACCTTTCCACATTTGGCTAAATGATCAATTCGACCATTTGGGTTTAATAGAAATGATCCTACACTTCAGATTTTGAAGATTCATTTTTATTATAGCCAATAGGTCGTCCATGACTTGTCCAGGGTCAAGAGATTTGAGCTCTTGGCCATTAGCGTGAGAAGCATGGATGCCAGTCATCAAAATTTTAATGTTTTGTATCCTCATAAAGTGTGGGTCACTTAGAATAGGGAAGCACAATTTTATTCTATAGCAGTGGAGTGAGAATTATGGTCTTATTAGGGCTCTGTAGACCATGATTTAGGCTTGAAGAATGCTTTATAACCTCGATAAAACTTGCAATGTAACAATCGTGCAGTTCAAAAAAAGTTTGTGCCAAATGCAAGATGAGAGAAGAAAATTGATCTTGCACACCCACGTCGAAAATGATCAGCTCTAAAAATCTTGAAATCGTTGAAATTGCCCAAATATGAAAGGAAGGACCTGCGAAGTGTTTGCAGGATTTTGCCACTACAGCTGGGAGGTATGTCTGTGGTATCGTGACATCGGGAGGGGGAATTTAATTTAACACTCCGAACACGATGCCTCCTGTAAAATGTGTAAAGGTAAATCGGCAATGTTTGAAAAATAATCGTTTAGCAATTTATCAATAGATTTTATATGTGTTGACACCGAATACATTTTCAAAACTTGTTGCTTCAAACGGCACCAACAGATTTGAAATTTGTCAATGAATGGCTGAGCTATGATTTTTCAAACACATTGCAAGTTTGTCGTTACACATTTCACCGGAGCGTGTTCGGAGTGTTAAAAGGACATTAATCCACCTATTTTCCACCAATTTTTTTTTTTCCAATAATGAAGCAGAAGTTGAAAATGACTGGTCGTTGAGGTTGACCATCAGCGTGTGCAACAGATGATAGCTGGAATTTCAAATAAAGTTGGTGATTTTATCAGAAATCTGTCGGAATAATGTTGGGATATACTTTTATGAATGAACAATACTAAAGTTACATTTTTCTAACGTCAATCCAATCGCGAGATAGGACTAATTTCTCATTACCGGTTGTTGGAAGTTTTAATTCTCAACTCAAAAGTTCAAACATTAAACAGTCGTGATCCAGATTTGGTCATATTTCATATTTCATATTTATAAATTGACTTTCATGATTAAATTTGCGTTTTCACTGTTGTTAGTTTTTCGCTTAGAATAGCATAGAGATTGCTTATTTTCATATGTCTATTGAGAAAAGTAGGAACAAATTTAAATCTTCATCTCTGCACCAAGCATTTCATCTAAACATTAAGTTGAATTTAAAAAACAGATTTTTGTTTGTTTGTATAATAGCAACTGATTCTTCTTTTTCAGGACCATGGATTCGTTGGTTTAAATAAAGTATAGAATTTTGCTTTCAAATTATTTTTAGGTATTGTAAACTTTTCAAAATTCAAATTCAACCCCAAATTAGTTTATTTTTTTTTTGGAATGGTTCAGATTACCTTTTGAAGAAATGTTAAAAACCATGAAGTGCATCAAACATGAAGTAATTTGAACAATTTTTCAATTAAAAATCTCATTTCCCATCGATCCTGACAAGCCAATTTACCCATCAACCCAGCAGGTAGCAGCTCGGGAGCTGCCTCCATCTGATTGACACCTTAACCTTTTGCACTCCCCGAGAAAACTCATGCGCAGTTCTCACAAAGAGCGCTGCAAATCGTGGATCCAATTTCCGTGCCAGTCGTGACTCCCCGGCAAGGCGAGAACCATTAGAATACATGCACCGCGAATTGCCCTTTTCCCGCTGTAGAACTTTGATCACAATTCGCACAACCGTGGGTAATTATTCTGTCAACTAGCCGAGAGGATCGAACTGGGATCGATCGACGACGACAAGATGAATCCTTGGTTGTTGGTTTTACATACCTTGTAGGTGTTGGCGTACGAGGTGGCAACTGGGGCGACGGCCTTAACGACTGGGGCATGGGCGTAGGCAACTGGGGCAGCATAGGACTTCACTACCGGAGTGTGGTAGGCCAGTGGGGCGTGATAGGCAGCGGCCAGTGGGGCATGGGCGTAAGCCGCGCCATAAGCTGGGCCATGAGCGTACGCCGCGCCATAAGCTGGGCCATGAGCGTAAGCTGGGGCGCTGTAGGCCAATGGAGCTCCGAGGTATCCGGCCGAGACGGCGGCGAAGAAAAGTGGGAGAGCCAACTAGAACGAACGAACGGGAAGCGAATTTCATTAATCACCATCAGGATCAAGCACTTTTTCACTGCATTAATGTCTTCGATTTAATTTTTATTTTTTTTTCAAAATTTGGAACTTCAACTCACGAACTTGTACATTTTGATGTGGTTTGGTTTTCGTAGTTTTCTGTGAGATGAAAATTTGCTAAAGCTGCTGTGGCTTTGTTACACTTTGAGGCACTGAACTGGAATGCTTTTCGGAGCTTTGATCCTGACTATTTATAGTTGGAAAATCTTGGTTGGTACCCTTCTGAACTCTGTCTGAAACGACGCCGCCGTGCTTCTCACCGGGGAAGGTGACACATGGTTACCCACACACTCTCAAACAAAACGCGGACACCGCATGGTTAGTGCAAATACCAGACTAAGAACACACCGCATATCGCTTCGTGCCGGTGAGAGAGAACAAACCTCCACCACCCCTACTCATTCGGCAAGACTACGAACCATAGGCCTACCCAATCCAAGTACCGTGGGGTAGCACGACTAAGAATCGGTAGTAAAGTCTTACTTCTTACCACTACATCACTGAACGGGTGGCGTGGCGCGGAATCAATTCAGCTGATCGCTGCCGCCGTAAATACATAGGTGCATATCTCCTGGTTGGGTTTTTAATATTATATTCGTTTTCCATCGGCTTACACTGCGACCGCGTGTAGTATTTTGTTCTGAATCGGCAAACGATCGTGGCGACCACGGCGCGGCAACAACAACGGTTTGATGGTGGTTGATGGGTTGAGAAAGGAGGGGGAGGGGGTGGGTGTGTGATCGCTCGACATGGGAAAACAACAGCCTGGGGGGCTTCCAATGCAATGGGTGGCAGTGTTGGCAGTGGCAGGTGGTTAGTGCAAATATGATCTAAAACACATTTCGTTTGCATAGTTGATCTTTGCTTTCGAAATCTGAGGAAGTATTATTGTTCGGGGAATGAAATTAGGTAATAAGGGAAATGGATGTAATGTCGGCCTAAATGCTTCTAATTTGGGCCCATACATAATTTCAGCAATCGACTAAATTTTCAATAGCGACCGAAAATATCCATTAGTACCGTCCCAATGACGCGTTCATCTAGATAAAATTGATAAATAGCAGATTTTTAGCGATGGGCCCAATCTTAGATCCATAGGCCAACATTAGAGCCATTTTCCCTATTTTAGCAAATGTTTTTGCATATCATAGAAAAAAAACCCGATTTTATCAGGCTTCTTTCAGAAAAATCTTTCCAATGTTTTTCGAAACCTATGCGTTCTTTCAGTGCTATAATTGTACCAAAATATACCTTAAAAATTCACCTTGAAGATAGATTAGAAAGATTTGTAATTACGTTTATAGCGGCGTCAGTGGTCTAGTGGTGTGCGCGATTACCTCTCACCCCAGCAGGCCTGAGTTCAATCCCAGTCGGTGCCGCCGGGATGTTTTGAGGCATAACATCTCTGATCACGCCTTCACGGGAAGTAAAGCCGTTGGTCCCCGGTTCATGAGTTGATGGGTCGATATGTAGGATCCAGGTGTGGGAGCTGCCTCCCTGGCGTCGGTAGCATTGGTGCTCAGCTTAGAAATCAAGATCGACGGAAAACAAATCAAGGAAAAAAATGTGAAATTATTGACCTCAATTTCGATGATTTGCGTCCAACGTGTCAGTCTTTGTACAGTGGACTAGAAATGCAATTTCAACGTCAGACCTAATAGCTCTTAAACGAAACATTTTCGAGGGTTGGTTCCATAGTTAAATACGGATCGTACCTGCGTCAGAATTAAAGGTTATTGCGTATCCCTCGGCTTCTAAATAGTTATTACTTTGTAACCACAATGTGAATATACCTGTACTATCTATGAAGCTTCTCGTTTAAACCTTTTTCTGCAGCAAGTTTCACCATCTCTCGGCAGGAATATCGAAGAAATGAAAGCTTTTAGCTTTTTGAAAAGTATCTATAGCTTGAAAACAAGCTTAAAACCTTACTGAAAGCAAAGAAAAGAAATTACTGGTGTAAAGGGCGAACACGAAATTATTGCGACACCGAAAATGTCATGCCAATTTTCTTATAATGTTTAGAATCAAACTAAAATTTTAGGGTAGTTTTATACATATATTTACTTCAAAAATCAAAAGAAAAGTTAATCGATGGAGCCTTGAGTGTAAAATTGAACGCATTTTCGCTTGATGCCCTCCATCAAAGTCTTTACAGTGTCATCCGGTACAAGTACCTTCTCGTCTTTGACTGTCTTCTTGCTCTTCCGAAGTTCCCGCTTCATTATTGCCCAGTACTGCTCCACCGGGCGCAGCTCCGGACAGTTTGGCGGATTCATGTCCTTTGGAACAAAATGGACAGAATTGGCCTTATACCACTCCAGGACACTTTTAGAATAGTGGCATGATGCCAAATCTGGCCAAAATAGCGGAGCTTCGTCGTGTTGCTGCAAGAACGGCAAAAGGCGCTTCTCGAGGCACTCAGATTTGTAGATCTCGCCATTTACTGTGCCCTTTGTCACGAAAGGCTCACTCCTCAGTCCGCAAGAGCAGATGGCCTGCCAAATGAGATATTTGGAGGCGAATTTCGACATTTTCTTCTTCTTAAATTTGTCGTCCACATCGAACTTGCTCTTGCCGGTGAAAAACTCCAACCCCGGAATTTGCTTAAAATCGGCTTTTATATACGTTTCGTCGTCCATCACACAGCAGCCATATTTTGTCAGCATCTTCTCGTAGAGCTTCCGTGCCCGAGTTTTAGCCGTCGATTGTTGCCGCTCATCGCGGTTTGGGAAGTTCTGTACCTTGTATGTATGTAGTCCAGCTCTCTTCTTTGCATTCTGGACGTAGCTCTGCGACATGCCGATCTTTTTAGCCAAATCACGGCTTGAGACGTTGGGATTTGCTTTAATCATCAGCTTCACCTTTCCCTCCGTCTTTTTGTTCTCCGGTCCCGGTTTTCTTCCAGCTCCTTTGTCGTGGTCCAACGTCAACCGCTTCTGGAACCGCTTCAGCACTCTGGAGACGGTTGAATGGTGAATGTTCAACATTTTTCCCAACTGCCGGTGTGACAGGTCAGGAAATTCCAGGTGTTTGGAAAGAATTTGTTCTCTCAACTCGCGTTGGTTCACCTCCATTTTCGTTGAATCGAAAAACACGACTTCGAGTTTGACAGCATGTACACAATACACATCAATGAGAAAGTGTGCAAAATTTAGTTGATTTTTACCCAATGGTAAAAAAGTTATGCCCTGTTGAATGTGTCGCAATAATTTCGTGTTCGCCCTTTACTTTTCTCTAGGGACTTTCTAGATAAACCTTGATGCCAACGCTATGGAAAAAGGGTCGCTATATGCGAAACCGCTCATCTTCCAATGAGAGTGAAGAATACTCCTCTCAATGGATATTCGACTTCGCTAAAAAGGTTTGTCCAGACTCTGTCCCAGCACAACCTACTTTACGGGATACAGCCCGAAGTAACGGTTCTCTGGATCAGTGCCAATAAAAATCATTTTTTCTACACTCAACTTAGCTGAAAATGAAGACAGCCTTAACAGATTAACCAACTATCTACATGAATTTGGATTTTGACATAACAAAACTCTCTTGATCAAGGCAACCTAGGAGTATCGAAGTCAACATTTGTTTTTCTTCACGCTCATCTGATTTTATTCTAAAGTGAGTAGCTTTTACTCAGTTTCGTATTTGTATGCTAAATGTCAAAAAATGTGTAACATCAATTTAGCAAAGTGAGTAACCTTTACTCTAATCAAATAAATATGGAACTTTACTGTTTTGAGTTAGATTAAATGAGAAATGTTGAAGCCCGGAGTTGAAAGTCAATTCCCCGAGAAATTCCCAGAAAGTTTTGACAGACTGAAAGCTTGATATCAGTCAATATTTACACAGGTCACGTTTTTCTGAACTTCTGGTTGTGAACTTCAGAATCCCAGGTTCAATCCCAAGGAAAGTTCACTGTAATAAGATTGTTAGTAAGTTTTATGAGAAAATCGGGAAATGGCAATATATTCAACAAGTATTTCATTTTCAAAAAAAAAAAAAGATGAGAAACTGATCCGTAAGTTGTCCCAGTTTAGTCCAGAGATGAACAATATGTTACTTCCCGGATCGGAAATAGCTTGTGGCTTTCAGTGAAATCGCTTAATAAGCAGATTTATTATCAATATGTTGATTTGTGTTTATAAAGTCTAATCTTTGAAATAATTCGGTTGAAATAAAGCAAATCGTTTTTATTTTGCTGCACAAAAGCTTCGATAAAATAATTTCCTCTCAAAATGTGCAATTTACAAAACTGAGTAACTTTTGTTCAGTTGAGCTTATATTGCGAAAACCGGAGCTGAGTAAATACAACTCAGATTTTGTCAAATGCATATGATATTACTCACAAGTGAGTAAACATGGAGTTACTCACTTTAGGATAGTTCCACTTTTAACGAAAGTGAGTGGAATTTGACTCACTTTAAAGTAAATTTGAGCGAGCGTGTTCATTCGTAGCTCATGTTCAGTTTCACCTGTGTTGTTATCAATGTTAATATTCTTCTTCATCTTGGTGGGGATGATTTTGAGGATCAAATGCAGAAGGATTATTTTCATTTTTCACTCATATAGTGCTGAAGAACGTGTCTTATTGGTTTTTATACGCAGATCGATGGAAAATGATTACCTCTTGCTGAATTGATGATAATATCGAGGTTCTGGGGACGACATTTTTCAAAATAATTAGTTTGCCCAAAATGAATTGGATTATTTTGCTACTGATTTTGAAAATTTTGGGTAGGATAATCAAACAATGATGAATAAAAATAAAACAGCAAAAAAGGTTATCTTCCATTTAATTCCACTTAATTAATTTTGGTATCCATGACAGATACGTATTTCGACTACAATGTGCAGTCTTCATAAGTGTCATTCCCACTAAAGAACTTTTCAATGAATATCAACAAACGCGTATTCGTTGATGTATAATGAACTCAATTGTTCATTTCACTCGTACGTGACAGCGAAGATTTTCAAAGCAAACACATCATCTACACTGGATTAAAGAGCTACTCCTTGCATGTGACTTTAAATGATAAAAACAGACACTGCTCTGGATGAACCATTCACAATGCTGGAATTTCCAAAGGCGTTTCGTTCATCGAATATCTTTACTCTGGGAAGCGATATGATCGAATTCGACCTTCTAAAAA